TGATTTTGTTAAACTTCCGCACAAGATTAAGTTCAATAAACCGTCGCCACACACATATGTTCGTATGTGAGGAGAGAGAGAGAAGAGAGGAAGAGCAATTGGGTGACGTGATGGGCAGAGGAGGGCGGCGGGACCTGCACTGAAAACAGTTACAGTTTTACGCACAAACATATTTTAATATGTTCGCTCTCTCTCTCTCTCTTGCGCTATTTTTTTTTTGCGCTATTTTTCTTTATGGTAGCCTAAAAAAAAGTTATGACAAGAGGTTTTGGCTTTGGTTTGCGTTGTGCCGCAGCTCATTACCTGGGCACATTGTACACAGGGTATGCAATGCCTCGAACCTCGTTCAAAGGGCAAACCATTCATTCCTTCTTTTTTCGCTGCCTTGTCATCAACTTCTTTTGCTCATGTGGTTGGGGGGGGCTGTGTGAGAATTTTGTTTGCTGTTTTTTTTTTTGTTTTTTTGCCGGGCATCATTAAATGCAGGTCTTGTCTAGGAGACAGAGGTGAGGTTTACTTTACAGTTACGCTCAAAATAATAGTCCCACTATAAAATATAGTTTTAGCTACAATCTTAAAGCCACTTTGGGCATCAGTTTGTGTAGTACATTGAAAATGTACAAAAGGCATATGCGACACTATATATTTGAATTGAAATCAGCTGTGACAAGTGCAGACAAGTGCTAAGCAGCCACTATTATTCCAACCACTGCTGTGAGTGCGAGGAGCGTATGCATTTTCTTCTTTTTTTCCTTTTTTGCTTATCTCGTTTCGTTAGAGATGCCGTTGGATTGGACAGGCTTTTGGTTCAATGCACTTGGGCGACCAAAGAGCATACCAAAACGGAATGCAAATAAATAATCTATTATTGAATAGGGGAAAAAAGCACACACACACACACACACACAAACGCACACACGTGGAAGACCCAAACGAGGAATGACTCTAATGGCATCGACTAATGGATACTCTCTCTCTCTCCGAACAGCCCTGCTAGCCCTATACACCACAAGTGTTAGTCACTTATGGGGGGGGTATCGAAACTTCATTTAAATGTACAGAGTAATTGGGTTTTCTGACTCACGAAACTTTTATTTTAGAAGCGAGCGAAGGCATGCGTCAAAGCCTCCGGCAATGCCCCTGCCACCTGCCCGCTCCATACCCCTCTATCACGCTGCTGCTGCGCAGTCGCGTGTGACGCCGCTTTCAATGTCAAGTGGTGAATCGGCGGCACCCGATAAAACACGAAACCGTTTTCAGAAGCTCTTCTCATCCTACACAATGTTGGCATACGAATATTTTCAATGTTATTCGCTTCATCTGAGATTGGTATCCATTTCCCTGACGTTGAGAAAGTGTTTCGCATTTGAGGGAACTTGTTCATTTGTTTGTATTTCCTCTTCCAGATGTTGTGCACAAGACTTTCTTTGGACAAGAAAGAGTCAGAGAAAACCCTCTCGTCTGCGGCAGGAAAAACTTGTGCGTGGAGTCATGTACGGGGGGGAAAAAGTTTGATTTGCCATAGCGATAAAGCCTAGGTTCCAAGCAAAATAACAACTGAATTCACACCAAAAAGAGGCATACAACAAAAAAAAAAAAAAAAAAACCAAACACAATGCGTGGGAAGTGTTTTCTGAGCTGAGATGAAGGCAGGGGAATTGAGTGGGGTGTGAGCGAGCGGCGCAACCATAATTAAAACCTAGGCAGAGTCAACCTGTGATAAAAGATCTTTCAAACACGATATAAAAAAAAAAAAACTAAAACCAAAGCAACAAAAGCTGCGAAGAGAACCCCATGCGAAAACCTGTATATAAAGTTGGAGAGTACTGGAATGACAGAGATGATGTAACTACTATTCACAACCGTCACAATAGTTTGAAAAACTTGTTTGAATAATATCTATGAATCGATGGAACATACAACCATCCCAACTTTAATCTTTTTGCTCGGGAAAACAGAAAGCAGAACCTCCGAGAATTATTTCAAATCTAATAGACTTTTTTCTAAATCTAAAAGTAGTTCTCTCTCTACTTATCTCCGCGCTGTGTTGTTTCCCCTTGACGGAACAACTCCCATTAGGTACGAAATTAGAGCAAATCACAGCTTGATGGCTATAAATTAGGCTAAGTTGTTGGGTTGCCCTGGGCAGCCTGGCAAATGGCTTTCAAGAGAGCTCATTTGGCGACACAGAACAAAAGATATTCGAGAAGAAATAAACAAAGCAAAAACTGTGCCACTGTGCAGCCCGATCATCGTGAGATCCGTCGGTGTTCCATAATGATGATTCAGTATTTGGCATTGTTGTTTCTATAGCTATAATTGTTAAACTATTCCCCCGTACAACGACATCAAAAGATAATAAATAACAAGCGGCAGAATGGCAGAAAAGTGTCTCCCAATCAACTTTAAGGTTAAAGTTTACGATTCGAAAGACCAGAAAGCCATTCTCAGAACTCGAAATTAATTTAGCCATTAAAAAGAGCAGGTTTCATAAAACGAAAACTAGCCTCGAAGTTCGAACTCTTAATATCTCTGACATACTATTCCCATTTCGTAGGTGGGTCAGCAGATCTGCTGTATGTTGTCTATATAAAATAGTTTAAAATGTAGTGCAACAATAAGCGAGTCCCAAATCGTTTAAAAATTTCCCCTAAGCGAACGGACACAACGTACAATGGCATATCGGGTATAGGGATTATACATATGTATGTATGTATGTATGGTCATAGATAATTTATCAAGTCGTTGGATGCTTTCTTATAATAATTTATAATAGCATAAAATCAAAGGAAAATTAAAAATCAATAAACTCAATTACGTTTTTGGGAGCCTGCCTTATGCGTCTGGGTCACCTTACTACTCTCTCTGTCTCCATCCCTTTTTCTCTCTTTGGCACTGTCTCTTCCTCTGTTTTTGCTTTCATCGTTCCAGCAGAAACGGTGCTCGTGTGTGTTTTTGGTTTTTGGGGTTTTGGGGGGAATTTAGAACGCATTATTCGCATAATTCCCTCCATTCTCCCTCCATTTGCTTTTCTCTTTTTCGACGCTGAAAGCTTTTTGACGCCCCTTGGTAACCGCCCAAACAACAAACAGTAGAACCAAAAGAGGAGGAAGAGGCACGGTATGAGTGTTTAGTGTGTGACACACAAAAGCCAATGTTGTATTTGAGGATCGTTAACGGTGAGGTGAGTCAGATCTGCTAGAGAGAGAGAGACCCCAACAAATTGATGGATTGTAATTGAACTTGAAATTGCGAGAGATAAAGAGAGAGCGCGAGGCAGAGGCAGAGGGAGGATAAGAAAACTTAATTGAAAACTGTAAAACCAATTTTTAGTATACATATACATATGTATGTTATGTGTGTCACGTTCTGTGTGGCATGCTGAATTATCAATTGTGCTTGCAGCTGTTCCGCAACGAAACGTAACGCAAAAGTTTATCCAAAGATGAAGTCAGAAGCGTGATAAAGATGAAGATGGAAAAACAGCCAGAAACAAGAAGCATGACATGGAGTCTATGATCATGCTGATGATAATGATCAAACGCTACTGTCAAGTCTGTTGCTGATTAGCGAGAGAATCAGAAAATTGGCACGTCCCAAAGCGTCATTGGAGATGGCGTTGCGGCGGGGGCAAGAGAACCCATCTATGGTGGCAAAAAGACAGAATGGCAAGGGGAACCATCTATGGCGGGGGCAGCAAGCTGACGCGTCAATTAAGAAATTTCCTTAGAGAAATATCACAAATGTGACAGCTTTTACTCGAATTGTTTGTTTCCAATCCCCTATCCCTTCCCACATATTTATTGGCACATTCAGCCGTTATATTTGGCATCCTTCAACAAAAGTAATAGTAAAAACTAATACAACAACAAAAAGAAACCGTATTTAAAGGGGGCTAAAGCATGCGCCAACGCGAAAAAATGCGGGCGGCCCTCTGCCTGCACCTTGCACACACACCCCCTCCCGCAGGAAATGAGAGCCGCAGACGAAAAAGGCAAGAGCCACAGAGGCAAAGAGCGGGCGACTGACTGCGTGTGTGTGTGTGTGCGAGAGCAAGAGAATAAGGTCAAGCGGGGTGCGGCAGCAGAGGCAGCGAATATTTCCGCTGATAGCCGTTGATTTTGAATGAAAGAATAGCCTCTCATTGTCCCCTCCCCGCTCACACACTCATGCTCTCTATCATTGAGTGAACAATAAGCGAATATAAATGTTGATTTAAATATTCACCAAGAGCAAGAAAGAGGCAACGAACAAGAGAGAGCGAGTGGGAATTTGTGCAGAGAAATTTCACTTTTTTTGCCATGCATTCCGTTATACATTTTGGGCTTGGCTTTTTTTTTATTATATTTTTGCCTTTTGCTTTGCACGCATATACTCAAACGCACGCACACACACACCCGAGCATCCAAAGCCAGACAGAGAGGGGAAAGGTATATCAGTACAAGGTGAGGCACTGCCGAGTCACATATATTTTGTGTGCCACCTCCTGTGCTGTATGTGTGTCCTGCACGCACTTTCAAAAAATTAAAAAAGGAAACAGCGTGAGAGTGCACCTCTGGGAATGCCTCACCTCGCATTAACACACTTTGTAGAAGGCTGCTTTCTTTGCGGCGCTGTCTTTTTGGCGGTTTTTACAAGAATTTTGTTTGTCAAACAATTTACAACCTGGGGCGTCGGTACAGCCATATGGCTATTAATCAATTAAAGCCATCACACAACTAGCAAACGTCATAAATGTTCGTGTAATTTTTGTGTTTGCAAAAAAAAACACAGAAAAAGAAAGTAAAAAAGTGTTTACACTGCCCTGAAAATACTTAATTCACACACGCAAACAAATCTATATAGATGCGTTAATATGGAAAAACATTAACATTATTTTAAGAATATCAAAAATTACAAAAATATGCGTAATCACTTGTTTTTGGTGTTTTTTTTCTTTGTAACTGCGCCGCTTTGCTGCTGCGGCGGCTGCTGCTTTTTGCTCTCACTCTTGCACGTACTTCTCTTTGGGTTCGCCGCTGCTCTCCTCCTGTGACTTTGTTTGTATGTGTGTTTTGTAAACTGCACTTTTGATCAACAATGGGAACGTTTTTGGGCGCAAAAAAAAATTCGGATGATAGGATTTTACCACAATAATATTATTATGTATTTTTCAACGCGCCGCGCGCTCTTTCTCGATGGAACGAAAAATTGTTTGGAACAGAGTGACCAAGTGTCAAACCATCGATGGGCACTATCGATAGTATCGGTATTTTGCTGCTATCCGCTACTATCGACGGTTTTGCGATAGTTTCGATAGATGATATTCCTCGATTTTGATATTCCGTTTAGTATTACTAGCTAGTTGGCACTCTCAGCCATAAACCAATAATTTTATCCGGAATTTTCTACAAGATTGGTAAGTTTTAGGTTCATTGAATTGGCTAATTATTAAACAAAAACAACATAAAACGATCGTTTTTGATTGGATTGTATTACATAACAAGGATTTCAAATTTGCAGAAAGCAGCAGAGCAAATAATTTTTCAATTCCTAAGAATTTTGTTAGATTGGCTATTTAGACTATTTCTTCTGGTTGTTTACATAACAAGGTTCAAACAAAAGCGGCCAAAGCATTAAGTCAAGTTCTTCAGTGTTGCTGGTCAACCAAAATTTATGGACTTTTGTATACCTTATTTCCTTTAATTTATGTAAAATTTGTTGTTCCAAGCTCCACAGAAACATTAATAATGCAGTTTTCTTAGATTGAGATGTTTTTTACCCATTAATGCATATGTTTTGTCTTTTATAAATACATATATCCCGGTTCTGATACCTATTATTGGAACCCGTGAGCTGCAAAATTTCGTTAATATCTTTATAAGAGAGACTGAGTAGTTTCTGCATTAATTGTTGCCTGAAATTACAAACAATATCTCAAGTCCATAATATCCATTTTCCCAAGGTATGCAGATTGTTGCTCACCCCGTGCCAAAGTTGCAGAACAATGCTGCTAATCCATTTCCACATGTTGCTGAATTTTTTCCCATACACATCAAATGTTCTTAACGGGAACGCGTATGGAATGACGCAACAATGAATCTTCATTCCATACGCGTTCCCGTTAAGAACATGTTTCTCACACCACGAAAAGTCACCACGAAAACGCTCTCTTCACCTCTGAAAAGAGAGCAAATTTTGAAAAACCACCACGATTTGAGAGCGAATAGTATCGATATTTTTGTACGATTAATGGAGTTTGGCGGTCATTTTGAAAAGTATCTTAATATATTAAAAAATAAATTGGAACTTGATTAAATAATATACCGTAAGTATTCTGAAAGATACGATAAGATGCGTTGGTATTCCTCTATTACGTTTAATATTACTAGATAGTTGGCCCTCTCAGCCCTAAACAAATAGTTTTATCCTATAGATAGATAGATTTTGTTCAGGATTGGCAAGTTTTCAGAAGTCCTTCTGATTGAATTATTTACATATTAAGGTTCAAACAAAAACAACATAAAACGAATAAGACGTCGTTTCGTGGCGTTGCCAGACTCGTGCAATTCGTAGTTGCTGCAGGCTGCCATACCATGATATTTTGTGACATGATATTCCTCGATTTTGATATTCCGTTTAATATTACTAGCTAGTTGGCCCTCTCAGCCATAAACCAATAATTTTATCCAATTCCTCAATGAATTTTGTTCAGGATTGGCTAGTTTTCAGAACTATTTTTAATGGGATTGTTTAGATAATAGGGTTCAAACAAAAACGGCCAAAGCATAAAACTTAAATGTTGACTAAATGTGACGTCAGTGTTGCTGGTTAACCAAGTTTCTTCTATGCGTATGGGAATTTGTATACCCTATTTCTTTAAATTAATGTTAACATATTTAATATAATAATATCGGTCATTGAATTTATTGGAGTCTGGATGGACAAATTTTATAAAATTAATTTTTCCAAATAAACCATGAAGGAAGTTTATAAATTTACTTTTTGGCTAACAAAGTTTTAAAGCACAGCTCCATAATCCATAACCCTCTTTATGAAAAAGTATCTGACTTAAGTTGGGGCCCCAATTTTTTGCACCGGGGCCCTACCTAGCTACGCCACTGGCAACAATGAAGACAAATTACATTCAATTAAGGCAGTCGAATGAAAACAGATGATAAAGACATTATTATTTATTATTTTATTTTATTATTTATTTCTGTTTTTAAACAAACTCAAAACAGTGTAACCGTAGAGCACGCAGATTGACCGCTTTGGTCACTGGGCACGGCTAACCATACAGTATAGATGTGCCAGCAACAACGAAAGGGGCGCAGCTGAGTTTGCAGCGTACGTTCCAGATCTTCGGCTGGGAATGGCCGCGTTTGGCCATGACGTCACACGAGCCGACTGGCAGCAAGCTGCATGTGTTGTGTACGTGTACACTCCAAAATATATGATTGTATGCATAGAATAATTTTTAGCTGCCGAAACCGACTTTGTTCGATTTCAGTCGTAAACGTGTGTGTGCCATGTATCACACATACTGTGCTTGTGTGTGGGCCTACAATTTTTGGCCGCTGAATGGTTCGTTTTGTTTGAGGGCTGATGTGAGACGACCATTCAGGGCCGGATAACCCTGACCTGGGCAACCCAATTGGGGCCCCCTTATTTGTATTTTTCTCAGTGGCTATATATTTTATTCATTATTTGGAGTTGTTTTCAACAAAATTTTTCTGCCCTAGGGGGCCCTCCAATCCGGCTGAACCTGTCCCGTCGTAAGACAAATTTTTTGGTATTCTGTCGCTTTCTGTGACGAAGCGGAAGCAGAGGCAAAGGCTAGCCTAAAAGAGAACCGCGCGCCCGTCGCAACATCAGCTCAAAACAAAACGAAAAACCAATTCAGCGGCAAAAATAACCCACACACAAGCACAGAGTGGAAACAGGCACCACACGTTTACGTAAACTGAAACTGAACAAAGTCGGTCGGCAGCTAAAAAACATGCATCAACAATTGGAGTGACACGACACACACATGCCAGCTTGCTCGGCTCGTGTGACGTCATGACCCACCCCACCCAAAGCCGAAGATGGGAACGTACGCTCAAACTCAGCTGCGCCCCCGTTGATGAACTGGCACCTATATACTGTATGGTTAGTGCTCTAGAGCTGGCTCCAGGCTCTCTTGAAATTTTTTTAGAGAGATAGAGCGCTCTAGAGCCTTTTTAAGATGGTATATTCGATAATGATGATCGGATATACATATATAAAAATACATAATATATTTAATACAGGAAATTCCATGAATCACATTGGAATAATTGCCATTAGGGTATCAGGATGCGACGTATCAACGCCGGTATATAATTTCGTCCAACTCATAAAAAGGTTTCCGTCTCGAAAATCGTCCGCTAGCACATACGCCACATACGCACTTGCTGTCGTGTGACACACATGCAAGCGGATAGACGACGCCCAAATTTGGCGGCGAGATGGCGCGAATTCGTCGCTGGCCGAAAAATTGTCTTGCAATGGCAATTGAAATGTATGAGCGACGCATCTTATACTTATATTGTCTTTGGTACGCCCTGATAGACTCCACCAACTCCCATAATTAACATGCCGGCGTCTTGTGGGTGCTCGGCTAATCCCAGAAACTAAGGGCAAAGTCCAGCCACAAATGGCATTGTGATCTGACGACGCCCCGGGTCACTTCGATCTCCAATCTGTGAAAATTGTAAGTGTTATTTTAAAATTATTCCGCTAAAATTTCTACAACTACTCTCATGGTTCAATTTGAGTTAAAAATGGTGCCTGGAGTGCCGTTGTTGTCCATTTCCCTTTTGTCCAATTCTCATGCCATGCCACAGACCGTCGCCCGAAGACGAAGCAGCACGAAAAGGATGCGCCATCCCGTCGCAAGTTCGATCTGGGAGCGCACAATGGGCCAAACGGGCAACTCGAAAGACAGGGCGACTGTAGGTAACAGCTATATTGACCGTCCCACGTGTCACTGTTTGCCGCGTAACCGATTTGAACACATGCAACCTCGAGTGGATTCTGAGCGTATGTTTACTCGTGATTATATTTTGTGGTGCAAATTAAAAAAAACGAGAAGGAACGTGCAGCCTCTTCTGGGACGCGCCTCTATACCCGTACTCAGTCAGTATATACATTTTTGATCTTATGATTTTTTAGAATTTTAGAACAAAAAAAAACATTTTACATTTTTTGCTACATCTGATAACACACACACAATGTATATCTACACTAACATGTAGATTGTACAATGTACATGTTCCATTTAGATTCTAGATCTCCTCCGCTAGGGCTCGCACTGAACGCGGCAGAGTGTGCGAGCGAGAAGGAGAATGAGTTGCGTTGTCGCTGCCGGAGGGGAAGGGGAAGCAACTGAAAATGAATCTCATTCTGGCTATAATTATGATCCGATCTGATTCAGATCGGCAATCTGGTGATGGCATTCTCAAGATGCGTACAAAAGGGATGCCACAGATTTTCGTCTGAATCCAGGCGTCAAACACGGACAGCGGACAGACAGACATGGCTCTATCGCTCGGCTATGATGCTGAAAATATATACTTTATGGGGTCGGAAACGTTTCCCTCGCGACACACATCCACACCACAAATCTAATATACCCCTAACTTTTTGAGTACGGTATAATGAATCTGGAAGAAGTATTGACATGCCACCCACTATTGGCTGGAAGAAGAGACGACGTGCTCAAGGCCATTGTGGCCGTACCACAAGACCACTTAAGTATCTGACTTAAGTTGGGGCCCCAATTTTTTGCACCGGGGCCCTACCTAGCTACGCCACTGGCAACAATGAAGACAAATTACATTCAATAAGGCAGTCGAATAAAACGATGATAAAGACATTATTATTTATTATTTTATTTTATTATTTATTTCGTTTTTAAACAAACTCAAAACAGTGTAACCGTAGACACGCAGATTGACCGCTTTGGTCACATGGCCTAAGCGGAATCACTAACCATACAGTATAGATGTGCCAGTCATACAACGAAAGGGGCGCAGCTGAGCAGTACGTTCCCAGATCTCGGCTTGGGAATGGCCGCGTTGGGCTCATGACGTCACACGAGCCGACTGGCAGCAAGCTGGCATGTGTTGTGTACGTGTACACTCCAAAATATATGATTGTATGCGTAGAATAATTTTTAGCTGCCGAAACCGACTTT